ATATACAGGGTTGGCCATATTCGACGGAAAGATGCATATTCGACGGAAAGATGTGGCAACACTGTAACTTTTGACAGAGATGTTAGATCGAGTAACGACGTAGCGCGTTTGAAGCGTCAGTCGAAGGAAATTTGTGCCACCATGGAACAGTACACGCCACGCGTGTATTTTCTCATTTTTTCTCGATTTTTCCCATGATTAACAAAAAAACATCTTTCCGTCGAATATGGCCAACCCTATATATATACGAGTATATATATATTGTATGTATATATATATAATAACGTGATACCAAGCTTTTTAATATATATATATATTAAAAAGCTTGGTATCATGTTGGTCATATGATATTAGAGACAAAAAATTACATGCAATAAATTAATTGCTACGTACAGTTTTATTTTTCTAGTTATGTTTTAAAAACGTAATAATTCCATAATATTGAAACCTGTAAAATATGCGGTAAACTAAAGTCCTCTACAATGAACAGTTGTATGGTTGAAATCCATTTCGCTTATGGACTGACTCTACGCCCTATTATATCCTCAGCACAAGTGATTGATCGATCAACCATTTTTGGCTATAGGTTGAAAATCTGTCATCTTACTCCCGACGTGTCTACAGCTTCTACTACTAATGTTTCTGGTAGACAACGCGTAAAACACGTCAGTTTGCCATATATTTTACAGGTTTATGAAATTACATTTCATAAGCCTTCAGGATTATGAAATTACGTTTAAAAAAAAAAACAAAAAATAAAGTTACAATTAACGTAACAATTAATTTATTGCATGTCATTTCTCTCTTGAGGTAGGTCTGGGATATAAACCGAAAAAGCTAAGAAAGCAGAAAGAGGAATATTCGGTGAAAATCTAGAGATGGCGTAAAGAAATGTTACGCCCTTTCGTTGTTTATTGTCGATGTGTATGGTAGCTATATTTTTCTGTTTCTTGCGACAACCTTTTTACCTTCCAGCCACAGCCTCATAATTTCATCCTCCGCGCTAGTTTGCTGTCTTCAGCTGGCTGCGCGCATTAATTTGCATATTGTGTTTTGTATGTCTTTATAATTGTTTGACATAAGCGTGCATGCCGCAAAATTAATATTCAGTTTCAATAATACGGATGCCAGGCGCTGCAAAGTTACCAATTAGCATTTGTCCGCTTTTCAGATGAAGATTTAGGTCACAGTTTTTTTCCCGAGTTATAACGTGGGAATATTTTCCGTCATTATTTTTAGTCCTTTACGTTATACAACCAATATAAAGTCTCGAGATAGCTGAGCTTTAATGATAAGACTACTTTTGTCACAATTTTTTCAATCTCTAAAATTCTATGTATTAATGCAAGGAAAAGGAAATAATTACTCTATCTAATTACTTGTTTTATTTTTATTACATTTTACCTTTAAAATACATTAAAATAAAATTACAATCTGAAAAATGTGCTGTCTCAATGTATTCTCTGCTACATTACCCACACGACACGAATGACTGTTTATCGACTTATAATCGACTTTTTCCAGTCGGCATATAATCGATTATGAGTCGACTATAAGTTGACTATTGCTGACTGTTAATCGACTTAAAGATGACAAAAGTTCTATTCTTTACGCATGCATGCACGTACCACGTATGCACTCACACACCCACACACGTACGCACGCACACACATGAAATATTTTATTATTAAAGTTAAAAAAATTAAAAAGGTCAAGAAGTTAATAAACAATTCAATATTATGAAAAATTATATTTTAATGTTAAATAAGTATTCTGTTCCGCTAAAATGTGTTTTCCTATGTCCCAAAGCGGAATTTTCGGAATGCGCAAATAGCGCTGACCAATTACAAGAGCTTTCCCGATCACTTTCATTAGATCCATCGGAATAGCGTTTGTCATTGGCTCATATTGATTGCGCATCTGCTAGTTCCGCTTCATGGGACATAGGAAACTAAACTCCTGCGGATCAAAAATCACACATACATAAAGGAACATTGTCCTGTCTTCATTTTGATTTTGATTTATATTTTCGCCTTACTGTATATGGTACTATAATGAAAAATTAAAACCCAGATGCTACAATCTTAACTAATCAAGTTAAGTTCTACCAAATTAAAAAGTAAAATACAAATGATACTGTTTCTTGTTATTTATATAAACTTATAATACTTTTTTAAAAAAAGGTAAAAGGCAAAAGGTAAAAAAGATAATTTAATTTTATAATTAAATTAAGATGAACAAGAGTATTTAAAGAACGCGTCAAATGCGCCCTGTCATTGTGATTGTAATGGGATGCATTCGGGGATCGCTCTGTCTGCAGCTGCTCTGTGATCACTAGTCAACGCTATCGTGTCAATCAAACAAGATAGGATGACTGTTGATAGCGTCTTCCCTGAATGTACTCAAGGTGCTTTCACATGGCAGCGTTAAGCGTTGAGCGTCGAGCATCATGAGCTTGCTATTCATCAATTTTGATCACGTGATTCACCAGCTGTTTTTAGCGAATAGTAAGCTTATGACGCTCGATGCTTGACGTTTGACTCTCTCATGTAGTGACACCTTTAAAGAAAATATAGTTCATAGATAGGCTGGCATATACGGTTGGCAGGTGTGACATATACGAATATACGGATTGAGCTTATATTACGTGCGCGCGTGCGTGCGTACCGAGGTTTCTGATTCCGAAGATCTGAGCCGTCTGAGGTATTTCAATCAGTGCAATCAAGTGCATATAATATTTTTCTTGCAAAGAGTTCGAGGTTTCAAGAACAGTTAGCTAATTTGTCAAAGTAAGTCGCAAAAAATGATATTTTGTGTACATACTAGGCCTTTCTCCTTTTCAGGAGGAAAGAAGAGAAAGAAAGATAAACGGATTCGTAGACAAAGTACTATTCAATATTATACTATATTTATTCCGTTTGTTCATATCCATTTCATTATTTTATTATCCTTTTCTAGAATCCATTATCAGAAAAAACATTACAAATGCTGAAGTACATGCAAGAGTGCGACGGACCGGCAATAGAATAAGAGCATTGCAAAGTAGAAAATAAATTTTATGATACAGATGCAATATGTATGATAATATATAATACATAGATTGATGCAAAAATAATGTCAGTTTTCAAAGGTTAAATAATAAAAAGCATACAACCACAACTAAGGATATATATTAAGCAAAAAAATGGTTTAAATAAACAAAGCGATACGGAACGGTTTCTAGATCTTTATTTCCCTCTCCTTGAACAATAGTTTCTAGCCCCACTCTAAACTCTTCCCCTTCCTTTCCCTTTTCTTACCCTTCCTTTTTTCTTTTTCCTAATATAAATAGACCAGCATTTTTTGGCTTTTGACATTATTACAGTTTAAATTCACTCTTTACCTAAAATTGTCACAGTGTTCAGTTATACAGAGGAATCCTCGCACCCCAGGATACACATAAGTTTATTCAATTGGTTTTTCAAAAGGATAAAGAATTTTTTAAAATAACTCTCGAGGTTGAATCTAAACAGGAGCATATTGCTTAATCTGATTGTTTTTTACAAAAATACAACGATAACTAATTTACTTGTTGAAAAAATTTTTGTTTTTATAATAGAACTTGGTACTTGCGTGTCTCTTCGTGTAGGGCTCGTCGTTTTTAAAAAGAAGAATTGTATTATGAAAGAAAAAAACTTTTGTAATTAATTTCTTTCTATCCATATAGCGCGACAACAATTAACTGTTACTTTAATCTTCTTCGATCGGTTGCTATTAATTCCGTATTATAAGGAAATAATAATTTTTACTAGCTGTCACTACATTTATCAGTTGACTTGTGTATTTAGTTTTAATGTTCAACGTATTCAATTTTATTGTACTGAAAAGGGTCAAATCTTGACCGAAACGTCTACTTATTGTTATGAAATTGTTTTTAAATAATATATAACTTATTTACATCCTTATTTGTGGCTGTATGCTCTTTATTATTTAACCTTTGTAAATTTCTTAGCCACTTTCTAACAATTAAAAATGTCAGTTTTGTCTGTTTTAAATTTTGATGCTTTATTCTATTATAAATGTATAGTACAATAACTTAAATTATATTTATGTCCATATTAATAAATATCATTTTAAAGCGCAGATTCTACTTATTTATGTCAATAACGGTTTTTATTTTGGTTAATAAAATATGCTACGAGCT